CACTCTCCCTCCTCCCCTATATGTCTCTGTGGACACGTCTGTGCCCACCCCCCACTCTCCCTCCTCCCCTATATGTCTCTGTGGACATGTCTGTGCCCACCCCTCACTCTCCCTCCTCTCCTGCATGTTTCTGCATCAGCTGCAGCCTGTGACCCCACAGGTCTTTACTGGGAAAAATAAATCCGTTACTTCAAGCGACTGGAGTTGGGAAACTGGCAGCTGAACGCATGCTCACTGACTCAGGGCCACTCACAGGCTAAGGTTAGGGCAGTGGTCGGCAAACTCATTAGTCCACAGAGCCAAATATCAACAGTACAACAATTGAAATTTCTTTTGAGAGCCAAATTTTTTAAACTTAAACTACATAGGTAGGTACACTGTTATTAACTTAATTAGGGTCCTCCTAAGACTTAGGAAAGCCACACTCTGCTAAGGGTTGGATTCAGCCAGCTGAGTTTTAATTCTTGTTTGACCACTTGCTGGATGTATAATTTTCACCAAATTGCTTCTCTATACCTCCTTTTTAACTGGACTTGGGAAGTATTAATAGTATATGATTCAAAGAATTGTTATGAGGGTGGACTGAGCATATTCATGTGAAGTATCCAGCATGGTGCCTGTTCTATAGTCATTTGTATCATCATCATCATCATCATAATCCCATAGGGCAAACATTATTATGTTGGAGGATGGTGAAGTTGCAATAAACTACCTTAAGGAAGCCTTCTGGCATGTAGAAAGTTCATGAAAAAATAATTTGTCCCTGAGATTTTTCATGCAAATACTGAATAACTTTTGGAAAAATTATAAAAATAATTCCATCCTTCATGAATACATAGTGATGAACTAGAACAATATCTAATATGTACATATTACATACCAGGCATTTTACAAGTGGCAAGGTCAAGGCATATCATCTGCCTTTAAGAAGTTTGTGGTCTCGAAGAGAGGACTAAAAGGGAAACATTAGTGCAATGTCATGAGATCTCCAGCAGGAGTAAGCACAGGACGCTTTGGAGGTAAACATAGTCTCTCCAAGGTTGGAAAAACCTTCCCGGAGGAAGTATGTCACTGCTGGTACCAGAGGATGAAGAAGAAATAGCCAGACTTTTGAGACAGAGGGAAAAGCCTAGGGCTTTTAGTCAGCAAACTCATTAGTCAACAGAGCCAAATATCAACAGTACAACAATTTTTAAACTTAAACTACATAGGTAGGCACATTGTTATTAACTTAATTAGGGTCCTCCTAAGACTTAGGAAGAGCCACACTCAAGGGGTCAAAGAGCCACATGTGGCTCGCGAGCCACAGTTTGCCGACCATGGGGTTAGGGAAAACGTTAAAGAGCACTATCACTGGAAACTCCAAAACAGGATGCTACACTCACGCTCCTTGCTCACACACTCCTGGCTTCGAGTGACCACACGTAGGTGCCTTCCTTCACATCGGAAGGTACCTGTTCATACCAACCAGTCACGTGCTTAAAGCCATTTCATAGACTCACACTGATCCATCGGACCTCTCCTTCTGGCTGAGGTTACAGGTTACACTTCTGGCAGAAAACCATGCAGTATTCCCATGAACACTGAGATTAGTAAGCTCATGAACTTTGTTCTTGAGGCTGACATCCCAACCCAGCATGGAATTAATCACTCAGCCTGAAGTCTTCAAAATGAATATTAAGTAAAGTAGAATATAATTAGATTTAGGACAACTGAACAGCATGACTCCTCTTGTTAATAAAGCTGTTTATCTAAGGGTTGGCCATGCACTAGTCTCTGGGCAAAGAGGTTCCTCCTCTTGGCTTTAAGCAACGGCCGGGCACCCACGGGGCTCCCGTCCGGCGGGCCTTCTTCTATTCATCCGATATCACTGAACACCAGCTGCACGTGCCTTCCTCTCTGGGCACTGGGCAAATACAGCTCTGTGGAGCTAACTTTCTAACGGTGTGTGTTGCGGGGAGGGGAGAAAACACACTAGTAATACAACTTCAGGAGAGCTATCAACAAATACAGTTACCTTAGACAAAGTGATCAAAGAAAGCTTCTCTGAGGAAGCAGACATTTTAAACTCGAGTGATAACAAGAAAGAGCCAGTGAAGAAACATGCAAAGAACTCTGCGGGTGGAAGAGAGAGCTCATGGCAATGCCGTCCTGTGGGAATAAGCCTGGTTTGTGTGAGGTCGACCAGGAAGCCAGTGTGGGAAGCACCTGGAGGAAAACAGGGGAGGGCAACACTGTGAGGCTGGGAGACGAGCAGGGCCTCAGCAGGATGGAGCCCACGGGAGGTCTGCACACAGGGGGTGGCACATCTTTCATTTCTGAATAATGAACCTACATACTCTAAGAAAAACAAATTATTCTAAGGAGATAAAAGCAGGTAGATCAGTCAGTATGAATGAATCAACCAGGCTTTTCATGATTCAATGGCAACTTACCAGCATTGAGAATGAAGACAGAAAAACAGATGAAGCATGTTAGACAAAATCCACCGTCCAGTTCACTAAGATAGCCACCGACCATGGGGCCCAAGATGAAGCCCACACTAGACGCTGTATTTAATTGTCCAATGACTAATGGTCGCTCCTTCTCTGGAACCAGATCAGAAAGCATAGCCCTTGAAATGGAGAGTGTATGTTTAAAAATACCTGCAAGGAGACAAGTAACATATTCTGTAACATTTTCCACATTAACAGCAGGGACTTCACCTCTATCCCTGATGGAGTTCCTATCCATTTCCTTTGAACCTCTAAGGCCACATGTTCCCGCTGCCGTGATGGACTCCTGGTTCAGCACACCATCCTGGTTGGCCACCCTGTCCCTGGCAGCCAAGCTCCTGGATCCTCAGCTTCCCCCACCTCCCATCAGGACATCCCATGTCTCCCGTCCTCTCCGCTATCCAAGTACAATTCACGGTGGCTTCTATATAGAAAGTTATCCTTCATTATTCATAAACTCGGAATAAACATTTTCTGCATGCCTACTATATGTCCAGCACGAACCTTGACCCTGAGGGTAATGCAAGGAACAGGAAGAACAGAAAGGCAGGAAAAAGACAAATATCCTGTCCTCACAGAGCTTCCATATCTCTGTAAGTTAAGTGCTATGTAGAGAAACAGCAGAATGACAGGGAGTGAGTAAAAACATGAAGATGTGATGATACCACTGACTTTCCACCAGCAAGAGGCTTGTGAAACTGTTGACTACACAAATTGAAAGCTGCGATATGACTTAACTTTTACTGATGTATTTGACTTGTAGGCACCCATACATTGAACACACACACTCATAAACAGACTGGTGAATTCCGGTGACCTAGGTTGCCCACTATTTTGATTAAAGCATCGTAGGTCCTACTAATAAATGCTGCTGGCAGGTCTGGCTGACTGCTCCTAACAGGGTTTCCAGTGAGCTCCCTGAAGCAGTTGCATGTCACTACTCAAACCAGGTTGGTTGACATTAACATTATCATCCTCCACATAAATCTCTACACATTTTGTAACAAATACTGGTGGTATTATAAGAGTGGTAGTATTGTAACCCACCCCACCATTCTTGTGACTGTCTCTGTGAATGCTGACTCTAATATGTAGCTTGTAGATAAACAGCATGTTTGTGTAAGGATCCTAGGAACTAACTTCAGAAGATGCAGACCCGGTCTCGAGTCACCCCAGTTCTGGGCCATTTGCGGACCTTCAACCATAGAACCAGATGACACAGACCCAGGATGACGAAGACCAGGATGATGCACAAAGACCATCACGTGACCAGTTTCAAGGTCCTTATCGGCATGGCCTGTGCTGGCCTCACACAGAGAACTTTTCAACCCCCTCCCCTTGATTTCTTTGTTCTGCTTTCCCTCTCCCTCCTTATAAAAACCTCGGCCGCACGGAGACATTGCAATGGGCTTTGTGACAAGAGTTCCCCATCTTCTCAGGTGTCTAGCAGTTGAAACAACCACTTTCCTTTTTCACCAGCACATGTCACACAAATTTGGCTTTCTTGGCAGCAGGTGATCAAATCTTTGTTCCAGTTACAGTATTTATCTCTCATCTGTTTCTTTTGAATTCTAAACAGCCTTACCAGTGAATGGTGGAGAGTATTATACTGTACAAGGACACACTGCAACCAAACTAAGAACATAAAATAATGTGGACACCCGGTGCACATGAAACAGCTGTCAGTTGGATTTTACATGTGATGGTGGAGCTTATCGGAATGATTGATCACATTTAGAACAAAGGCATTCATAAATAATTTTCTTAAGTAAACCACAACTCAGCATGGATTTTGGAGGGTGAACACAGAAGACTTGTCCATCAGGGTAGCAGAATCTGTCAGTGCTCTCATGAGAAAGGTGAGAAAGAAACAGAATTTCCAGGGCTCTAGTCACCAAGAAAGGCAAAGAGGGAATTAAGAGTAACAACCTACCCATCTCAACACCTAGCACTCACAGGGAGTATTTCAAAGAATGGAAAAATATTTTAATGGATGGACAAAATAAAAGCTATTTCAAAAATGGAAGAAACATTCAGGAGCAGTCTGGAGACAAAAGTAACCCCTGAGCATTCCCCCACAAAGCAACGGCCAGCTTTACAGAAGGCAGCAGGAAAGCTATGGTGGTCAGTATCCATTTGAAATCAAGAAGCCCAACTTCAAAACGATAAGCTCGCTGAGGGACAGAACAGCAGGCAGTGCTGGCTGGAGGCATTTAACAGATTATCCTGCTTGAGAGATGAACAGGAAGGAGCGAGGCACCGCCGCAGCAGCAGAGCTGTCACCGTGACAGACACTGGGCGTGGCTCCGGCTCCATCATGTCTGAAGCTCTGGACAAGTCAGCAGAGCCTGACTGATGGTGGTGTGACAGCGCTAATTTGTATCGCCATTATGCCCTCTACACATAAGCTCTGGTCAGAGGCATTGGCCAGCAGGGACAGGTTTTCTCTGTGCATATATAGGGTGTCCCAAAATGCACGCAAGATTTGAATTTTGCGTGAGCATTAACAACAACAACAAAAAATAAAAGCCTAATTTTACTTGGTTTATTGAATCAGATTCTAATATCTGTTGCCCTTTGATTTCAATCCCTTCAATTTGATAAGCATTGCCAAGTACCAATTACGGCCCAGGAGCAGGGACAATGAAGACCAATGAAGACCACGGCTTTGCATATGTGCCAGCTAAGCCGTGGAGGCCATTTACCCGATGTGCTATTCCATACATAACTCTATACTGTATACTTTATGAATCAATAAAAAATTTACAATTTTTAATTATAAACCTGTGTTTTCTATCAAAATTACTTCTTGTGTGAATTTTGGGACACCCTATATATACGAGTGACTTATTTTGAAGGAAAACACAGGCAGGGGCAAGAACTCACCCACAGAGACTCTAGCAAGGACGAACAGGAACATGTTGGTAGAGGCTCCAAGAATAAGATAACCCAGGGCACTGCAGAGAATGCACACCAGCAAGGAAAGCCGTCTTCCAATCACATCACTCCAGCAGCCCTGAGGAAGCAAGAAGCACAGACAGTCCTGGATTCACCATAAAATCACCACCTTGGAAATGCCCGCCAAATGCAAGCCCGTGGGAACCAGCAGGGGATTTGGGCTAAGATCCTTAAATGCTCCCATTCTATTATGGCACTTGTCAGAGTGTTTTCTTTGGTCTCCCACAAGCTGAGTGGAAAATACAACATAGCTTTCTCTCTCTCTTTTGTTTTTTTTTCTAAATCCTCACCCAAGGATGTTTCATTGATTTTTAGGGAGGGAGTGGGGAAGGGAGAGAGAAACATGAATCATCTGCCTCCCATATGAGCCCTAAATGGGGACCAAACCTGCAACCTGCACACCCCAGGGCTGGGGTTTGAACCTGCAACCCAGGTCATGCCCTTCATCAGGATTTGAACCCATGACCCTTCAGTGGGGGTGCTCTAACCACCTAGACACACCAGCCGAGGCTCATTTTTATCTTTGTTATAGCTTTACACATCTTAACTCCTCAGTAACAATATTTAGTTTAGAAATTTAGGAAACACTAAAAAACAAAAATATAAAAATGCTTCACAATCCCCAAATCTACAAATGATATTTCTAACAAAATATAGCATACTGTATTTTGTAACTTGCTTTTCCACTTAACAATAAATCTCGAACATTATGCCATTAAAACTTTGCCACCCCCCCCCTTTTTTTTTTGCTTAAAAGTGTCTATTTTCTACCATCATGACAACCATGGATTTTATCATTAATTTTTTTGGTCTGTTAATCTTCACCTGAGGGTATTTTTCCCATCACTTTTCAGAGAGTGGAAGGGAGGGATTGCCAAGGGGGGTGGGAGAAACAGAGAGAGAAACATCGACTGGTTGCTTCCCACACATGCCTGACTAAGGGTGGGGAGCGAACCTGGAACCCAGGCATGTATCCTTGACTAGGAATCGAACCTGCAACTCTTTGGTGTGCGGGCGACGCTTTAACCATTTAGCAACACAGGCCAGGGCTTATTAATTTTGTCAACCCATATGGCTCAGATATACCGCAAAATGATTCCCATAATTAATTTAATTAACACCCATTATCTTAAGTAGGTATAAATAAGAATGAAAAAATGTTTTTTCCTTGTGATGAGAACTTTTAGAATTTCCTCATAACAACTTTCAAATACATCATTCAGCAATGTGAACTAGTCACCATGCTGCACAGTACATCCCAGTACTTCCCTATAACTGAAGTTTGTACCGTCTGAACACCTTCACTCAATTTGCTCACGCCTGCCTCTGCTTATCACAAATCTGATCTTTGGTAAAAATCTCATTCAAAAATGACTTTGCTTTTAGAGTCAACATGTAAGTGAGGTCATACAGCAGTTGTCTCCCTCGGTCGTCTTCACTTACAGAAAGCCTGAGGCCCATCATGTGGTCGCAGATGGCAGGATGCGCTTCTTTTCATGACCAATAGCACCCACTGTGCACACAGACCACATCTCTTCACCCATTCACCTCTGGAGGGACAGAAGTTGGTTCCGTCTGGCTGCTGTGAATATAGCTGCAGTGAACATGGGGGTGAAGGGATCTCTTCCACAGCGACTGCCTTTCCTTCGGATACACAGTAGAATTGCTGGATCATATACATGTTCTACTTTTAATTTCTTGAGCAACCTCCATATCGTCTCCCATGGTGGCTGCATCCATCTGCATTCCCACCAGCAGTGCCGCGGGTTTCCTTCCCTCCACATCCTCACCATCATGTGCCTTGTGTTTTAGGTGACAGCCATCCTAACAGGTGTGCAGTGATGTCTCATTGCAGTTTTGATTTGCATTTCCCTAATGATTAGTGATGTTGAACACCTTTACCATTTATTCAGATCCTTTGCCAACTTCTTCACTGGATTATTTCTTTTTCTGCTATTCAGTTGTATAAGGTCTGTATATATTTTGAACTTTAATCCTTATCAGATATATGGTTTGCAAATATTTGTTTCCATCCGAGTGGCCTTTCCCATCATGGTTGTTTCTTTTGCTGTGCAGGGGCTTTTGTTTGATGTGGAGCCTGGGGGCTGGTGCGGGGAGGGTCACAGATGCCTCAGGAGCAATGGGCCGCCTTCCCAGCTCATCCTTCACTTCCTGTGTTCAGTCTCACAGCAACAGCTACGCCAAAATACCCCTCCCTGGAGCTAGAGGCCTGGCCTTCAGAGGTGCAACCAGGAGCCACTGGTGAGGCTTCTGAGAAAGTTCTTTAGAGGTGGGGGAGGGTCCTGGCAGGCTCCTCTTCCTCCTTTCCTCTCTCCTGCTGAGGGCTGCCCACCACGCAGGAGGCCGAGCCACTGCTAGGAAGGAGAGCTGGGCAAGACGATGCACGCTGGTCTCCTGCAGCCCCCCAGACGCTCGACAGCCCAGCGATCAGCTGCACACTTTCCTCCTTACACGGTGGAAGTTCCGTGCAGAGAGATACACGCCTGACAGAGGAGCCCAGCCCGGCTGCAGCGCTGCCACAGTGAGCCGGCTTATGTACCAAGGTTCCGGGTGAGGCTTTGTTTGAAAGAAGTGTCAGAGTGAAAATCACTGAAAACTCTCAGAGCAACAGAGCTCTGTCAGAGGAACGTCAGGGCAGGGCTCCGGCCACGTGGCCTGGCGCTGGCTGGAAGGTGGTCCATAGCCTCCTGCTTCCTTACCCCTCAGGCTGCTCAACGACTCCCCCACCCTCGCCAAGTAGCCGCGACACCCACACCGGGGCCTGCCTCTCTGTCCTGCCAGCAGCAACCACCTCTGTTCCCGGCCTTCCTCCACTTTTATATTTATGTGTTTATATTTTTCTAAAAAAACACACAAAAGACCTTTTTACAAAAAGAGGCCATACGTGGTTATAAAATTCCTTTATAAAAAATTCAAGGGTAACTGTTCTAAATACTGTCAACTTTGTCCCTAGTTCTCATGTCAATGGATTTAGAAATTGTCCACACTTTCCTCCTGCGCCCGCAGCGCAGTGCTGTGATCTGGCAGGAGCACCAGGGCCCTGCGCGAGGCTGTCTGGATGCAACCCTGAACTCTTACCACATCCAGACACATTCCACATGGCATAACATGGCGAGCCCTGGCTCTACCTGTAAATTAGGAACAGTAATAGTGTCTGCCCTGGAGGTCTTTCCCCTCCACATGGCTCGGTGCTTTATGTAAAATCCGTCTTTAAAGACGCAGGGCCTCCAGCGCCGTCGCTGAGAGCAGTCAGGATGAGGGCTGAACGCAATCAAGTGCTCAGCACAGCGTCTGACACGTAGTAAGTACTTAATAGACGCTGGTCATTTTTATTAAAATTATTAGTCAAATCTGACACATAATTTCCTTAAGGACTTCTTTTTAAAATTAAAATGTTTCTAAAAAACTTATTAAAGATTTATAAAAGCACTGGTTGACAAGAAAATGTTTATTTGGCATTTCACGTGAATGATTTCTAAGGAGTTTCTGCACAGACATTACGGCTAGAAGGTTTATGAAATGTGCTTTGTAAGCGCAAATAGGATAAAGCAAAGGCTTACTTGAGAAAGAGGGTTGGGCCATGGCTGTGATCAGTTTCAGTCACCAACTGTTCCCACTGCCAGGACTCCGACAAGCCCGCCTTCACTCAGACCATCAGCGCCAGCAGGAGGCACTGGCTGCTTACCGCTCACTTCCCCTGCCCCTGCCCCCTACCCCCTGCCCCCCCACCCGACCCGGCTCTAACATACACACTAGCAAGTGTCTGGGCAGTGAGTTTCCAGGTAAAAGAAAAGCTGCTCACTAAGCACATGCAAGTTCCTTCACAGGGACCAGTGTACCCTACAAGCAAGCCCACCGTCCCCTGTGCAACCTGAGGCTGGTTATCTATTTACTTTTTTGGATCTTTAAGGCTAAGACTTTTAGGGAGAAAAGAACCCAGGCTTAAAGTCTGGGGACAAGATGAGGTCACTTTCTCAAATTATTTCACGTTTGTGAGTCTTCATTTCCTCCTGTATGATAAAGGGAGATGAACACTTTGCTGGGTCATTGTAAAGGTTAAATGAGAATAAAATTGTTATTGTTATACAAACTTAATCTATGAAAGACTTGAAAACAAGATAAATCAGGGAGTAGCTATTTACTTACCAAAGAATTCATTACAAAATCGGACCAAATTTCTTTTCTTTTTTAAAACACATTTTACGTGTAAGCCACTCTTGGGAAGCACGGTCCATACTCTGTGTTCACTGACCAAGGTCACAGCTGACCAGTCCGTGGACTTGCCTGGCGGTTTTGCCTGGCCTTCCTGGACCACTGGACACCGACGCCAAGACCAGGGCGGTTCAGAAAGGAGAAGGGGAAGCTCAGCTAAGAATTCCGAAATTCAAACGAGTGAGCAGTGGGCGTGACATGCACAGCTCTGGCTCTTTCCACCCCACACTACAGACAGACTTCAACCCTCCAAATGGCTCCTGTCTGTACACTTCCGTTTTATAATTAATAAACCGCATAGTTCAAGACGCACAACTTCAAACAGAATCCTAGAAGCATGACTGGATTTGATGACTGTCAATTAATTGAAACAAATGCTAAAATTGGTAATAACCATTCTCTTTCCCAGTCAAAAGTCAGCAGGGAATCATGGGAAGGACATGGTACAGTGTAAAAGTGGGCTCTCGTTCTGACTCAATGTGCTCCCTCCAGAAGCCATCGACTCTGGTACGCCTAGATCTTTGCGGCTGTCCAATGAGGAAGAGAGGTGTCTGAGGGACCTTCTGATCTAACGCAGGGATCTCCCAATCATCTGCACGTCCACTTCTGGAAGCCTCCAGCCCTGACTTCGCAGCAGCCGCACTGGGTACGCTCAGAGGGCAGAGCCTGCTTGCAAGACACATTGCCAGACGGAAGGTAACTTACCACCAGTGTGCTAGAAAAGAGCTGCAAGATGCCGTAGGACGAGCCTGCAAAAAACATCAACACCAAGAGCAAAATCAGCTGGACCCTCACAGAACTGGAGAATGGGATAACGACTGCACAGAAATTAACAGAAAAACATTAGGAAAACAAAGATCATTTAAAAAAAGAAATTACCCCACAATTTTTTTTTCAATCGGAAGGGTGTAAGTAATCTAATTATTAATAAAAGGTCTTCGAAATAAAATGGAAAGTAAGCAGAAGAGAGACTAAAGGCAAGTTCCCTTAGGCCCGTGAGACAGCCCTTCCTCCGTGTGAGGTTCCCTGGAGACGATGCAGAGCCCAGGGGAGCAGAGCCGAATCCTGGTGGGCTACCACGTCTTCAATGTTAACACCAGCACATGCACAGACATTGTTTTCTCAGGATGCTTTCATTTTATGAAGAACTTACAAAGTTTACAGAGTGCTTTGACCTCCATTCTATCACATAACATGTCTCGTAAATAAAACCCTTGTGTTTGCTCTTCATAAAACCCTTGTGCTGCCAGCTGGGCCAGTATAATTCCAGACACCCTTTCTGAGGGAAATACAATGCTGGCATGGGCAGCGCTTACTGAATATTATGTTCAAAATTGCCCCCAAACACCTGCTGACTGAGCTTCTGAATGACCAAGGACTAGAGTCTTAAGTTTTCATTAGCACAGTCAGCAGCCCTGCCAGCTCCTGCCTCTCTGGGGCATCAGTGACTCCTGGCTGCAGACCGGCACACAGGTGGCAACGCCTCACAGCACTCACACGTGCTGGCGCAGGAAGGCTCACCCCACGCCCCCTTTCTGCATGTCTCAAAGCTTCTCAGAACACAGGTGGGCTAGGACAAGATGAGTGAAATATCTGAAATTCATTTCATAGCACTTTCAATTTAATTTTGGGCAGCATTTAGCTATGAGACTGATCTGCTTTCAGGGGCTCAGTCCAGGGATGTAAAATGCTGCGCTCTGAAAATGTGCAGTACCTTCACTCACCTGCTATTCCAGCAACGGTGGGACTTGCTCCAAGAGACTTGACGTGAAGGCTCAACAAAGGCACCACCATGCTGACACCAAACAAATCCTGAACAACAAAGCTCTGATTAACTCTAATTAGAAACAGTCTAGGTGTTTTTAAAGTGGTGATCCTAACTATACACTGATTTTCCAAATAAAACCGCTATCTAAAACTGAGCAAATAAGAAACCATAAGTGCATTCCATCTATGCCATACTCATCAGGTCCAAGTTATCAAGGATCCAAATACAATATGCTGCAGCAGAGGCTCCCCGTAAATGTGTGGGCCACCCTGACCGAGAATCCATGTTAACTTTAGCGTCTCTGTGACTGATCTTTAATATTCAAGAAGGATGTGCTACCAGAAGTCTCTCCAATAAGAAAACAATTTTTGTGAGCAGTCAAGTGAGAAAGGAGGTAGGGGTGATGTGTATTTCTTGACAAAGCAGCACATACTTAATAATACGCATTTCCTCCTGCAGTTAGGGAAGGTAACTCATCTGTGGTTTACAGCCTGAAAAGAAAGTCAAGAGACTGGTGGATTAACGAAAGGCCACACTCTGCAGCTACGTCACAGAGAGTGCGTGCGCTCTGGGATCAGAAAGACCGCTCTCAGTTCCAGGTTCACCACTTTCTAAGAAGCCTGTGTCCTGGGGAAGTTCTTTAACGCTACCAGGCATCACTGCGGTCACCTGTGAAAAATGAGAGTTTCTACCTGCCTGGCAGATGCACATTAAGAGACAGCGACTGAAGAGCTGACACACAATACAAGTTCAAACATATTTTCTCTTCAGTTCTGAGAATAAACACTGACTCTTCTTTTTTTTAACAGATTGTTAATTTTTCCTTTAAATGTCGTTCTCACTCCTACTTCACTTGGTTACTCGCTACAACTGGTTTAGGAGAGGAAAAAAACACATAGCACACATAGTGTCTTTTACAGTCAACCTGAATTTCTTTTCTTGTAATCCTAAACAGAAATATTTGAAATAATATATTTTTTTCAGCCAATAATTCATCTCTCACTCCTTGCCTCTTTTGGTAGCAGTATATTCATCTAATTATAGAAAAATAAACTTCCCAATACACTTTTCAGTGTCCTTCCCATGGTTACAGCTTTAGATGGCCATATAAATATCCAGTGACTTTAAATAGCTCATAAACCTACACTACCAGAACTATGGCGCACTATTTTGATTTTAAGAGTATGGTAGTCCTCCCTTATCCATGGGGGGTGCATTCCAAGAGGGCCTGAAACCAGAGTGCCCACACTTACTAGTAGATATGGTTTCCTATCCACGCATTCCTATGATCAAGTTTAATTTCTAAATTAGGCCCAGTAAGAGATGAACAACAATAACTAATAACGCAGAACGATAACAATACATTGTATGAAGGTTATGTGATGTTGTCGCTCTATAAACATCTGATTGCTCTGTACCCACCTTCTTCCTGTGCTGCTGTGAGATGGTGCAATGCCTATGTGAGGAGATGAAGTGAGGAGAGAGGTGGGCATTGTGACCTAGCACTGGGCCACTATGACAGAGACCTGAACATAAGCACTGTGTCATTCTGATAACCGAGAAGGCTGCCAAGTGACTAACGGAAAGGTGCAGTGTCCAGCGGGGATACACAGGACAATGGGATGTTCACGGCTAGGCCTGGATGAAGAGGGGCGGCGGGAGGTTTTAAACTGCGTGCAACTTACTTCTGGATTTTTCCACTTAAATTTTGTGGACCAACATTGACCACAGATAACTGAAATCATGGAAAGCAAAGCTACCAGTAAGGGGAACTAATGCACTTAAAATTTCTTTTGAGTCTGAGCCAAATGGGGGGGGGGGCAGTTTACTGTTAGCTTTGTCCCATCAGCCTACTGATGTTTTATATCATTTAAGACTCAAAATACATTTTCTGGATCTTTAGTACAAGGAAACTCAACTATCCAACAAGATATGTTTTCCAAAAATATCCCCAGTACTGTTTGTATTTAATACTGGAATGGTTATTCTAAATAAGTACTGGGAGAGAAGTATTTCAGAGGTAGGCCGACAGCTATGGAAGACAGATATAAAGACACAGACTCATAAGCAATAATGGTGACCATATTATTTTAGTACTTTGTGAGCCTGAAAAATACCATCTTTTCCCAAGGAGACTGGCTGTCGTTCCTTCCTCTGTCTTCCAGTTTAACAGAAGAGGCAGCTTCAAAGCTGGGGCCTCGAAACCAGGAGAGGAGGGGCCACTCACCCTTCCACAGAGCACCCGCCTCTCAGTGCAAACTGATGACTAAATCACAGGGTTTGGGGATGTTTTAAAAATGAATCCTCACCCGACTAAAGGTGATGAAATGAAATACAAATCTCCCAGCACCTAGAGGGAAGAAGAGACTGAAATCGCAGGTCCCAGCAGCACCTTAGGGTGCTGACCACGAAGAACCTCATCTGAGACTCCCTTTCTACACCAGCTAAAACCTAGCAGACAGAGAGCTGAAAACAGAACATTTGCGCAAATGAATTCTTTAGCTTGTTCATTTCCTCTCCCAATTGGAAATCATTTTCCCAAAAGTCTTAGGGGTCTTCACATCTCTGTTTTAAAAATCATAACTAAGATATGTATAATATTGCTTAGCTGTGACCTAACAGCCATTAGGTGCTTCAAGTTGCATATATTATGTTAACAACACTTCCCATTTAAAAAATCCCGACTTTTAACTTTGGGGAAATCTTACATTTCCCCCTGAAGATATTAGAGACCTGATGATGCTCCTGAGTTAATTATTAAAATTAAGCTTTTACATCAGGTCTGCCAGATCAGGCTCACCATGTGGACAGCATATGAGGAGCTCTGATTGCAAATCTGAATCCCAAGGTCAACTGTCAGGAACAATCTCAAACTATGTTGAATTCTAGGTCATGTTGGTTTCCAAAATTCTCTGAATTCCGGTGTGGACTTTCTAGATGAGGGTCCAAATCCTGTCCCCCTGGCAGGAGCAGATCGGAATGCCATCTGAGATAGGGGAGCAGTAGCCTGGGCCCCCATCTTCTACCAGAAGGTGGATGGCGGCCAACCCCTTTCCAGATTTGAAGAACCACTCACACTCCCTGGTTCTGGATTTTGGGTAACTGGACTGGTAGGGGAAGAGGAGCCTGCATCCTCAGTCTCAGCTAAGAGAGACACTGGATCAGAAGTGCCAGGCTCCGAACTCAAAGGCATTAAGCCTGGGGTGGCTGCAGTTTTAGTGGGAGGCTAGGATCCCTGGAAAAGCTGCCCCCTGACGGCTCTCAGCTCAGTGCTCACAGCAATGTGGGAAATATGCTTCCACTGTCTTAACAACTGTGAATTCAACATCAGCCTTCGGGGCTGTGGAGCACCTCGCACTGATGAGGGGAGGCAGACTGAACAGCCTCCGGGTCCTCACCCAGCTCAGTGGGGCTCAGGTCCGGACTCCAGCCTCCATCGAGGCACCTTTTGTTGTCGAGACCGTTTGGGGCCCAAACGAGAAAATCCTACTGGGTCTCTGTCCCAAGCCGGGTTAGCTCACAACCAAGGCAACTGAACTGTCTAAACTCGGAAACAGGCGTGAAAAGGTGGATCTGGGCTTCCTACAGACAGTGGTCCCAAACTCCCAACACAAGCTTCCCAGTAAGGTGAAAACTCTCCCAGGCACAGGTTGTACACACAGCAATGGAAGCTCCACACACCTAACAGACAGCAGCTATCCGGGAATCCCATGACAATAGAGTGGGTGGATGAATGAATTTACCTTACATATACTCGGCTTTAGCTGTCCATTAGACATGGACATTGTTAACTGTCCTATTAAACCAGAACACACACACGAATTGTGACAAAGCCCTGCACCCCACAACATATAAACAGTCTGTCAAAGGGGAGGAGTGTGTAATTCACGGTGACTTGCATTTGTGAACAGCCAGTGTAGCAGGAACCCTCATGGAAACGTGCCAAGTGGGCTCATCAACAGCAACTCCCCAGCCCTGGATGGTAAAGACCTGTGTTCCCGAGGCAGCCCTGCTCAGGGGGCTCTCCCGGGCCTGCCCAGGAAGGCCTGCTCTCCGCCTCGCACGCCTGGCACCTGCCACGTCAATGAACACCTGGGCTCAACCTCTGAGGAGGCGAGGTCCAGAGCCACGCGAGCTCGGGAGTCTTCACCACCAGGGCGGCCCGGGCCCAGGGAAAGCTCCAGGGCCATCAGGGCTGGGGCCACGGTCAGAATGCAGGGTGATGGGGGAGCAGGAGGCCTGACTGGTAGGGAGGCAGCACCGGCACCGGCGGATCTAGGTGCGCAGCCCTGGCTGAGCCTTGCAGGCGGAGTAGGGACAGTCAGGAGCCTGGGGGGAAGGTCGCCAGGGGCGCCGCGAAGGGCAAGTCTCACGGTGGGACCTGCCCCCGGTGGCCTTGTCCGCTCCTAGCAGGTCACTGGCCCGGCGGTTAGGACTCCCTGACCTATCACATCGCTGGTCATAGGTCCAGACCGCTTCCGGACCTTTCCTCCCGGGCCTGTGGCTACTCATTAAAATAAATTTGTGTGTGTGTGCTTCTATCTGAAATGTTTCTTAGCCAAAACTCCCAGACAGCGGTCTAACCTGGCGCCCTCTGAGGCTAACCCAACCCCCGGAGCTTCCAGAGAAAGCACCTGATCAGGTCAGCAGTCTGCACGGGCGGCCGCACTCACCAGGAAGCCCACCAGGTAGAGGCAGCGCAGGAAGAAGGGGGCTCG